AAGAAGTGATTATGGAGTAGAAATGAGTTTAAGTATGTGTATGAAAGTTAGGAATATTAAAGGAGATGATATATGAAGTGTTTGAGTGAAAATGAAGTAATTTCGGTTGAAAATATGATTTCTGGCAAGGGGAATCGGTACCCATTCAAGGGGAACGATACCCCTTCAAACGAACAAGAATTTCCAGTATGTCTTGAGGAATCGATACCCCCATGGTAGGGAACCGATTCCCCCTAAAGAAAAATGTTAATATTGGTTTAATAAGTTCGTTTAAGTTGCTAGTATCCAATTACAAGGTGTAGGTATCTAATGATTACCTCGAAATGTACATTATGTAGATTCTACGCATAAAGAATTCCGGAACGTTTGGCAAGTAGATTGATCAAGGGGAAAGACAAGAGATTTGAATTGACTAGTGAGGCCAGGTGAATATTAATAGTTTATGGTGCTAAATGGAAACAAGACTTGCGACAAGTCTTTTTCCTCTGTTAGAATGCATGAATATATGATTACACGTATTGAATGACATGAATTGTATGTATGCATGATATGTGTTAACATGCTTTTGAATGTAATGTTATGAGAAGTATGTGCTATGTAATGTATATATATATATATATGAACATATGTGAAACTGAACTATGTGACTGCATGAGAAAGATATGAGCCATATGACATGATATATGTGAAACATGAGAAAACAAAGTATAAGATATGAACTATGTGATCCTATGAGAATATGAAAAGAAGCTATGTGAACATGTATATGTGAAAGAAGCTATGAGCTTATATGGCATGTGATATGAAAGTGTATATGTGAAATGATATGAATATATGTGAAAACAAGTATATGTTATGAGATCAATGATTACACGTACATGTGATACGTGACTGAAGAAAAGATATGTGGTTATAAGAGAAAGATATGAATAAGTAATGTGAACTGTTATAAATGATAATGCCCATGTTATGTGATATGAGAGCTAGGGGTATAGTTGGCATGCCAAGGTCGAGGGTTACCTATGTTCTTCGGAACATATGGACTGTTTACCTATGTTCTTCGGAACATATGGACTGTTTACCTATGTTTTTCGGAACATATGGACTGTTTACCTATGTCCTTCGGGACATATGGACTGATTACCTAGGTTCTTCGGAATCTATGGACTGGTCCTTCGGGACATTGATCGAGCTGTGGTGACAGCATATGTGTGCACAACCTCAATGTACTCGCATACCTTAAGTTCTCACTAGTGTACATGGGCTAATAAAGTGATTAAACAAGCATACTGAATGTGATATGTATACGATGGGTTTATAAGTGGTTTGAAATGTGTTACGTGAACCATATGATGTTGTGTGTATAGTGTTTGATTGAAAAGGTTAACAATAAAAGTATGTGATTACATGATAAACTGTTAATGATGAATTATGGGTCTGTATGTATTTACTGTAATTAATCTGATATGATTTTATATGATACGAAGAATGCATGGAATTGGTAACATGATAGAACAGAACATGCATGTTCGATATATGTTTTAAGTGCATTATAAGTCGTTATGCCTCACTAAGTCTTCGACTTAGCGTGTGATTGTTTCACGCGTAGGTTTCGAGAAGAGTAAAGAGTAATGCGGAGCAAGACAGGTCAGTTTTCCTTACCAATGTCAGATCAGAAAAATGTAGGTACTGTTTACCGAGTGTAGTTGGCATGTAGTCTAAAGATATAAATGGTATGAACTCTGATATCTGTTGTAAACGCTTTGAAATAAATTAAATGTTATCAAAGTTTTAAATTACCCACTATTTTATACGAATGAATGTTTAAAAAGTCAATGTGACACTTCGGACTCGTATCCGGGTCGGATACGGGTTGGGGGTGTTACACTGTAAATGTTCCAAATGATACATATACTCCCGAAGGACCACGTAGAACCCTCGACTCTTGGCATGCCAACCACGTAGAACCCTCGACTCTTGGCATGCCAACTATACCTATAGCTCTCATGTCGTATACCATGGGAATTATTCTTATGTTTCATGTGTTCATGTCATTCTCTTGTGATCACATAGCTCATATCTTATCATATCACATGTGCATTTGAGTCTTTTCATATATCATTTATCAAATCATATGAACATATATACTTTATGAATGTATCATAATTATCATGTATGCATATTCATAACTATTGTGCTATGAAAATCAACATATGAATTAGACTTATCACAAGTCTTATTCCATTGTACCATACTTCTAATATGTACTCACCTAGCCTTGCTTGACTCGATTCTAATCCTTCAATTGTTCCGGAACGATATCACTTTCTAAATCTACATATATACATTGATACATATCAGTATACTAATTGATATATTCTAAACTATCATTCCTTAGGCTAATAAGAAGCTATTTTTATCTTTTAATGAAGGCATGCATCAATGTACTACACCATGCATCGATATCCCTTGACAGGTGCATCGATGCACTATTCATGTATCGGTGCATAATCCTATTCGATGTTTGTATTTTAAGCAGGTGCATCGAGCACTCCTTATGCATCGATGCACTGATTGCATTCGATGTTCATTTATTTGAGAGTGCATCGATGCACATTGAAGTGCATCGATGCACACCCAGAATTACATTTTAAACACGAATTCACTCTCTTTCGCTTAATTCTTCATCTTTCACCTCCTTTAAATATTCCTAACTTTCATATACATACTTAAACTCACTTCTACTTCATATTCACTTCTTTAAACTCAAAATTCTATCTTCCATATGAAATCCAAGAATCATACTAAATTTCTACTTGTTCTAAATTCAATTCCATCACTTTATATCCCTTAATTAAGTGGATGCCAATTCAAATTTGTCTTCCAATATGAGTAATGAACTCTATTCCAAGATTTCATTCAAGAACTCAAAATCTTTAATCTCTCATATACTTTCATCTTGTTGTTTAAGAACAAATTAAACTTTCCTTAAGATTAATTATCATATAGTGATCATAACCCAACCTTTAAATCAACCAATAATCAAGAAATCACAAACTTACCTTTGAGCTTGGAGATACTGGAGGAAGAAGAAGAAGAAGAGAGTTTCCCAAATAACTCTTTCTTTCCCCCCGTGTGTTCATTTTAAAAGGGGAAAAATATATTTCTTATCAAATGACCAATTTGCCCTTTAATTCATTCTATAATTACCAAACAACCTTCAACTATATTTCAATAAGTCATTAAACTATTAACTATTTTACTTTTATCACCAAATTTCTAAAATTCTCATTTAGTCACTGACTCGGATTTCGGGATGTTACAAAATAAATTTAAAAATTTACTAAAAAGTAAAGTTAAAAAAAATACCTTCTAGTCTGAGGAAACTCAACCGGGGATTATGTAATTGATATAAATAGGAACCGATACTACAGGCAAGACTGTAGCAGACTAGATAACTCCCTACATCGATATTTTGACCCCTTTCAACAATTGTAGTCTTGCAAAGTTCCGGTATAAAAATGTCAAAATCTCTTAAAATTATTCAATATCGACAGATACTGAGTGCGTCAAATTCTTGGATTTATCAGGTAACAATATCCCTCCAATCAATTGGAGAAGATGCGATCGGGCTACAAATTTGACCTCATCCCAGTAGAGTCTTCATTCACTCGAAATTCGGACTCTAAAAAACTATCCATATATGTATCCGTTATGACATCTGATGGTAACCTCTTTCCCCAAACTTACTCACAAATATTGAATTGGTTGTAAGTGTTGTGTCTCACCAGTGCTGCACCATTTATCAAAACACTAAGTTGGTAAGTGATATCTTCCAACGTAATCATCGCTTCACCTCTTGAAAAATGAAAAGTATGTGTCTCAAGCCTCCAATGTTCAATCAGCGCCGAAATTATTGTAGGGTTCACCTTAAAGCTACGAAGAAATATGGTTGGATACAGTTGAATTGTTGTAGGGTTCACCCTAAAGATATCTGTAAGTGTCATTCCTCGTTGATGGATGCTCCGTTCTTTTTCCTAAAATATCAATTTCAACCAATTAATCAAATATACAGCATCAAGGCGTAACATTTATCTCGAGTAGTTATTTTGACAAGAATTCTTCAAAAAAATAATTTTTTCAAGAGTAATTTCTTCTTCTTACAATATAATAAAAACCCTAAACCTCAAACCCTATTTATAATCCAAAACTCAACGGCTATAACACTTAGAACTTTCAAAATCTCATGGAAGTCGTCATATTGAAATGATGAGTTACAAAGTAACCATTACTTTCTGATTGTTGCCCAATGATTAGTTAATTTTAAATTTTAAAGAACTCGTCACGTTAATATGACAAATTCTGTTATTTTTAATTTTAAAAATTAAAAATATTATTTTAAATGAATATGTCATGTCGACGTGACAAATTCTTAAAAATATATTAAAGTATTAAATTCCAAAATCTAAATTACCTAAGTTGTTTCAAAAATATTATTCAAACAAATTCATCACTTGTGGGATAGCATTTCCCCTAAAAACAGAATAAAATTATGATAGCCTAATGAGTTAATTAATTATACCGCTTAACCTAATGGACCAATTATGCCCTTTGTCTAGGCCAATACGACCCTGCATGCATTCACGCTAAAGATACGGGTGGTGTTGGAGTTGCCTTCCAATCATAAAAGAAGAAGAAGAAGAAGAGGGGCTAACTTAACTAAAGGTTCCTAAACTATTGCTATATTCTAAATAGGTACTTAAATTTCAAGAAGTTCTAATCAAATTCTCAAAACACATTTTTATCAGCTATGTCCTTTAGTTAGCCTCACCCTAACAGTTAATTTAAGTGTTAAATAATTCTTTTTAAATCTTGAGGACTTAATTGATAAGTCACAAATTAAACCCATCAAAACCTAACCCAGTTCTGGAATCTCGTTTCTTGCCTATATTTCCTTATCTAACATCCTCTGCATAGCCGAAATAAAGAAAGAAAAAAAGATGAAGGCAGTGGTGATAACAACAGCAGGAGGCCAGAGGTGTTGCAATTACAGCAAGTTGATGACCCAGAAATCAAGGATGATGAAGCCTCATCAAGGTTGAAGCCACTGCTTTAAACCGGGCCGATACTCTCCAGAGGAAAGGTTCTTACCCTCCTCCAAAGGGTGCTAGCCCTTACCCTGGCCTTGAATGTTCAGGCACCGTCCTAGCTGTTGGCAACAATGTTTCTCGCTGGAAAGTTGGTGATCAGTAAAATTGAAGAAACCCCACTTCTTAATTGAAAAGATGTGATTTTTATATGAACGATACGATGTTTTGTTTTTCACGGAATGAGGCTTAAATATTGAATTTTGTTGAGCTTTTAGCCTTTTTAGGAAATTAGGTTTGTGCTATATTATATGCAGGTGTGTGCTCTTCTTAATGGAGGTGGGTATGCTGAGAAAGTGGCGGTTCCAGTTTGGACATGTTCTTCCCATCCCACCTGGGGTGTCACTCAAAGATGTTGTGCTGGTTTGCCTGAAGTGGCTTGTACTGTTTGGTCCGTTTTTATGAGTCGTCGGCCGGGGAAACTTTCCTGGTAACCATTATCCACTTGTGTCTATGTATCATTCAGTGACCTAGTTCAATGCTTTGGGTTGCTAGGGTAACTCGGTTTGACGACATGATTCATGGATAAGCTTAGTTGGTTATCTTAGGATTTGTGTATAGAGCAGGTGTGTGCCAATTCTTAGGCCTGTAAACGAACCGAACGCACACGAACGGAGGTATGTTCATGTTCGTTCATTTAATAAATAGACGAAACATAAAAGAACACGAACAAACGAACAAAATTTTTTTTGTTCATGTTCGTTATTAAGGAATATAATATGTTCATGTTCGTTCATTAAAAAATAAACGAACATAAACGAACACGAACATAAACGAACACGAACATAAATGAACACGAACATAAACGAACATAAACGTTGGAGACCCTACCTTCCATTGTTCTTTCATGAAAAATCGACAATGCAAATAATCAAATCTACAGTGATAAATAGCGTAAGAGTATATTAGCAGTGATGAAATGTTTGAAGATATCAAATATTTGATCGATCTTTTAAGATATTAAATTATTCACACAACTTTAATTTAACGCTAACATTTATCTTAGTGGTCCATGATTACATATGAACAATCATTTTTCGCTATTACACTCTTTTCAGAAATTGCATAGAAATCTTTGTTTTGTTTTTGGCAAATTCTATATATTTTCTCTTTATTGATGCTCATATACTTCCGATTGTTACCTTTATCTTCCCATCTATTTCTAGAAAGAAGTATGATGTTTTTTGAGTTTAGATGTGAAGATACCTGCAATAACTTTACATATCAACTATGAAGTCAATAAAACAGAGAAAGAGATGAAACAGACCTGTAAAACTTCATTGCACTATAATATAACTTGTTTTGAAGCTTCAGCGATCGTCTCCACTCTCTAGTGAACACTAGGGTTTGGGGAAAAAAGGGGAAATGAATATAGGTGCGATGTGCCTCACAGGTTAACATATTGGATTTAATCTCCAAATAAAATTGGGTTAATTATGGAGTTGGTCATCAGAATATCAGATAATTAATATTTTTTAAGGTACTTACAAATTGGTCACCAAATTGATTTAAGAAGATGAGTTAAACATAATGAATGAACATAAACGAACATAATCGAACGAACCATAAACAAACATAACCGAACGAAACATAATCGAACGTTCACGAACGTAAATGAACGAACGAGACCTATGTCATGTTCGTTTTAATTAAACGAACAAAAATATTGTTCATGTTCGTTCATTTAATAAATAAACGCACATAAACGAA